CAAAAGAATCACTTAAGCCCAAGAGTATGAGGTTGCTATGAGGTGTGATATACAACACAGACAAGACTGCTGCAAACAACAACAACAACAACAACAAAGTAAATAGAAAAACTAACCAGGCACAGTGGCACAAACTACTTCTCCCAGCTAGCTATTCAGAAGCATCAGTGAGTCCAAGAGACTTTTGGTTTTTGTTTTTTTAACTTCAGGTTAACGTGAGGGTACAAACAACTAGATTATAATATTGCATGTTACGCAGAATCCCTCTTGTAATTGTAGCTCACACCCAAAAGATGTGCCAATACTTACACTGTGTCCATTAAGTGGGAGCACACTCCCCTCTCTCCACCCTCCTTCATCCTCCCTCAATCTTTCACCCTACAATTTGAACTGAGTTTTTCTCTTATGTGGGCCTGCATTAAGATCATCAACTGGCTTCATATTAGTACTGAGTACATTGGGTATTTGTTTTTCCGTTCTTGTGATACTTTTACTAAGACAAACTCTATTCAGGAATCCAGAAGTTTAAGGCTGCAGTGAGCTATGACACTACTGCTAGCCATGAAAAAGAAGGAAAAAAAAAAAACAGCTTATGAGCTTTCCTCAACAAATTAACTAACAACCAATAAAATTTGTTTTACTAATGTGTGAAATCCAAAAGCCTGCAACTATGACGGAAAAGTACCCATACTCCACAATTACCTTAATAATACCGATCTGTTTGAAGTAATCAGCCACAGACTCAATTGTAACATTCTCGCCCAGGCCTTGCACAAAGATGGTGTTGTTGTCTGAATTATCTTGTTCTGCTTGTTGAACACAGAAAGAAATGCAAATTTGAAAAGCAAAGGTAAAACAAAAGTGAAATAAGGAAGGAAAACAAAAAGTAAAAACAATGATAAAGAAAAAGTAAAACAGATGATTCAATCTAAGAAGCATTTGACATTAAACTTCAAGAGTAAAAAACTTATCCAAATGACTTAATTGTCAGTCAAGCAAATCAATAACATTATGGTTCAGGTTAGGTAATTTAAGCCATCCATATCCCTTCTACTTTAACATTGGAGAACTTACATGCAGGCCACGTTCATAAATTTTAGATTTAGTTTTACAACTACCCTCTGAAACACATTAATACACCATAGTATATAAACCAGGGCTCCAATTTAATTGCCCAAGACCCCATAACAAAGCACACCGGCTTATCAACTTTCAATTTAAGAAACCTTTTTCCATTGAACATTAAACCTATTTTCCATTAAACAAACATTAATACCTTCAAAACATTGATTAAATGTTTCCCTTTAAGATGTGATGCTATGGGGTATTTTGCTCTCTAGTTTTGTTCACCAATTTGACATGATTTACATTTTAAAAAACCACTGCTTGGCTCGGCACCTGTAGCTCAAGCGGCTAAGGCGCCAGCCACATACACCTAAGGTGGTGGTGGGTTCGAATCCCGAGCCCAGGCCCGCCAAACAACAATGATGGCTGCAACCAAAAAAAAAAAAAAAAAAGGCCAGGCGGGCGCCTGTAGTCCCAGCTACTTGGGAAGCTGAGGCAGGAGACTCGCTTGAGCCCAGGAGTTGGAGGTTGCTATGAGCTGTGATGCCATGGCACTCTACTCAGGGGGATAGCTTGAGGCTCTGTCTCAAAAAAAAAAAACCACTGCTTAAGGGCGGCACCTGTGGCTCAGCGAGTGAGTAGGGCCCCATATACCGAGGGCGGCAGGTTCAAACCCGGCCGCAGCCAAACTGCAACAAAAAATAGCCAGAGGTTGTGGCGGGCGCCTGTGGTCCCAGGTACTCGGGAGGCTGAGGCAGGAGAATCACCTAAGCCCAGGAGTTGGAGGTTGCTGTGAGCTGTGAGCTGTGATGCCACAGCACTCTACCGAGGGCAACAAAGTGAGACTCTATCTCTTAAAAAAAAAAAAAAAACCACTGCTTTAGATCAACACCTCTGGAGTGTGGTCCACAGATGTATTAACATTACCTGAGACTTGTTAGACATGCAGATTCTTAGGCTTCTAAATTACACAGGAAAGAATGAACCCATAAATCAGATTTCTGATACAGCATACAGTCATTTAGGAACCACTGCTAACTAAAGAAAGGTACACCTGAACTCCCTTCTTTTTTCTCTACCAATTCTTTCAGTTTCCATTTTTTAAGTTTCAAAGAATATCCAGGAAAAGTCTCCCCACCCCCCCCACCCCCCTAGACAGGGTCTCACTATATTGCCCAGGCTGGAGTACAGTGGCTATTCACAGGTACGATCCCACTACTGATCAGCATAGGAGTTTTAACCTGCTCCATTTCCAACCTGGGCCAGTTCACCCCTCCTTAGGCAACCTGGTGTCGCGCCCCCTCCCTCCATCCCAGGAGGTCACCAGATCGAGGCTGAACTTTGTGTGGACGCTCGATTGGCATAGCACATACAGTCCAGAACTCCTGAACTCTCAAGCAATCCTCCTGTCTCAGCCTCCCAAATAGCTGGGACTACAAGAATGCACTACCACATCCAGCCAAGAAAACTCTTAACACCATTTTAGCCACTCTTTCATGCCACCTATAGACTCACCTGAGTCATGACGTGATCCTTGGTCCCGAGGGCCTTAAGTGCATGGAAAAAAAGGAAAAGAAAAAAACAAAAACAAGGAAAAGAGGAGCTGTTAGTCAACAGGAAAAATGGGGAAAAAATCAACACCAAATCCAAACTCTTGCAAAAATATCAGTTAAGTGCTCACAGCCTCACTCCAAACCCTGTCCTGGGTTGTCTGCCCAGAGGAGAAAATCCTAGGCAGGGCTAGGAAAGACACAGACCCCTCTCTTTAAGATATGTAACTTGAGTCCCCATAGGGACAACTCCACACTTCAGAAAATGCTGGGAAATGTCCTCAGCACAGATGAGAGGAGGGGGATAGACCCATTAAAGTTAACAAACCAACTCAAAGCTTAGCCCTGTTCTCTCACTCCAGAGAGATATGGGCTCACCACCAGCAATGTGATGTGCATCCATCCAGTTTCTCCAAACTTTTAACACCAAAGACACTTATCCCTTGTGGAACAATTTTTAATTTTGTCTTTAGAAACCATTCTTAACACCATGTTATGTTTCCCCAAAAACACATGAAAATAAAACACATACATAATAGCTATTGTATTTTAAAGCATGTCCCAGGGAACAGACCAGAAATCTTATTTCCGTAATGCAGCCTCTACTTTTTTTTTTCCCAAGAAATCATCTTTGACCAATGTTTATCTGAATTTGCCATATAGAAATATTATACCCAACGCAATGACACCTAAGTTATGAACCCAAGCCTTTGGCTTTAAATGTTGAGACAAATCAAGAAACCTTTTGTTAGTTAACCAAACCAGAAAAGTTCCAGCTTACTGGGAGACTTCTCAAATTTGCCATTTTTTCCATGAATTCAGTTTGCGCTGTTTAAGACCTGGTTATTTCCCATGAGCCACACATGCTCCCAATCTTTCTTGAAGTAGTCCACACCTTCCTTTCCAGAGCTAATTTCTATTTGCCCATCTGAATTAAGTCCATACATGTAAAATTGCATTGACACCATTCAGTACTTAATATATAAATATATACCAACTTCACCATCCTCAGGGTAGGGCAGTATTTCACATCCCTCTCCCAGAATTAAAACATTTGGAAGTTGCCACACACATACACACACACACACACACTAGCCTTGGACACATTGATCAAAAGGATCCTAAAGCCAAGTTGGCACCATGTGTTCCAGCACACACACTCCAGTTTCTCATGATGGTGGACACTAAGTGCCACGTGTGGCAATACCCCTGTCAGAGGCCTACTAAACACCTCTTGTTAACCTGGGTCAAACCAATTTGGTACCAGATGACTTCTGAGTCATACCCCTGCCTGCCTCAAGATTAGCACACATCTGGCAGCAGAGGGCATTCTCTCCCACCCCTTTCTGGAGGTGGTTCTGGACACTTCAAAACCTTTGACACTTAAATTAACACGCTAAGACATCTGCAAATGAACAATCAGACAAAGCATTGCTGGGAGTTGGGAATTTTGTAAACTCTGTTCACTTACCACCAAATTTATTGAAGCCACCACGGTCACTTCCGCTGGAGAAGACAAGTTAGAAGAAAGGACATGAAGCTTCCAACGGCTACAAAAGGGCGTGTTTTTTTTTTGTTTTTTTTTTTTTGTTTTTTTTGATTTTGTTTAACATTCCCCAAACATGGGTAGGTGTTTTTGGAAAAAGATACAAGTGGCTACTAAAATACATCCCTTCCTGACCAACCCTTGTCTGACCTTTGAGCATATCACACACACGTGTGCAATTTCTCAGACACAGTTTTTAAAGATTTTGCTTTAAAAGAGTATATATGTCTATTTCCTCTGGAAAAAAAATAACCCATTTTCCTTGGTCGTTCTTCCGATGTAGCAGATGCTTTTTTCCTCTTGTCGTGAGTGGTTGACAACCCAGTAGGTGGTTTAAAAACCCTACCCCCAATTTAACCAGAAGACATTTCACACCAGGCTGGGGTAGCCCTGAACACATTTTTGTGGTTTTTGCTTTGAAAGCAGCAAGCACACCCAACCCCATTCCATAAAAAGTCAAAACCAAAGGCAATTTCCCCTTAAAGCAAGACAAACTTAGCTAAGCCCTGTCCTAACTACTGAGCTGTTTTGATCTCCCCCTCCCCCGGGGTCACCCCTTCTACACTGTGAGAAGAGCGGAGTATTTTGCAATGTCACCTTTCATACCTGTGGCACATAAAATGCAGAGCAAGTTAACAGTCACATAACAGTTGCTTTTCTTTTCAAAGTTTTGCATTAAACACACGCACACAACAGAGTTTTCCTTATTTTTGTACGTCTTTGAGATTGCCCCCACCCTCCTCTGAATACTTACCATATACAAAACTCATTCTAAAAACCTACTTTTTCCCAAAAAGAGTAACACTGACAAACCTCCCCTTTTTCAAGGGGACAAAGTAAGGTTGTTCAAATCATATTTATCAACAGATTTGACAACTGTTTTAACATCAAATCTAAGGTTTTACTACAAATCAACTTCAGCAGAAAGGGAAGGAAGGTCCAGTTGGACAAACTGATGTTTTTTTAAGTAACCAGGGAAAGGCAGACAGTGGAACAAATACATGGGATACTACTGTCAAGTGTAATTTTGCCCCAAAGGTCTGCACACTTCAGTCAGATGACCCCATAAACCAAGTCACACACAAATTCAATGTCAGTTGAATTAGTCCAAATCAAGCTCGTGGATTCAAAGGACTACAAGATAGCCAATTCCTGGAAGCTGAAGTCAGGTTAACCATTACCAACTCCCTCAAAGGACACATGGGAATGCACATACCAAGTTTCCCTACTTTCCCAGGAGTGGGATCATCGGTTTCCCTTGCAGACAAAGAAGTCTATACTTCCATGTTTCCTGCCTAGGATATCAATGACTCCAATCCATACATATCTATACATTTTTTCTTTGGAAATAAAAGTGTCAATATTCAATTCTCTATTCAGTGGTGTGCATGGGAAGGCTCCCATGGTCTCACAAGAATAAAATAGGGATATACACAGAAACAGTCACTGTCTCCAAACCAAAGCCCTCATAAATTCCTAGATAACAAGAATACTAAACAATGCACTAGGGACTAGTATCAGGGAAGATTCATGCAACCCTCCACACGCCCAACCAAACATACTCCCTGGCTCACAAGACACCTACCCCATGCCGCCTCTGCCTCCACGGCCACCTCCACGACCTCTGGGTTCATAGCCACCACTGCTGCGGTTGTAACCACCGCCACCGCCCCTGCCGCGTCCCCCGCGGTCCTGTTGGCCTCCCCCGTAGCCACCGCCACCACCACTCTGGTCCTGACTGCCATAACCACCACTGCCACCACTCATGGAGGACTGATCTTGGCCATAGTTACCTGTCAGAAAAGAAAGAATGCTTTAACAACAAAAAAACAGTAAAGTAACACAAAAAAGGGTTTAACAGTACCAGGACACAAAGGACAACAGAAATAAGAGAGCTAGGAAACAAAAAAGCAACCCCTTAGGACAAGGGCCAAACAACAGAATACAAAACCTTATAGAAAATAAGTAAGAGACAAAGCTGAAGGCATCTCACCTCCACCACCCCCTCCACCACCACCTCCACTGCTACTGTTGTACTGGTTCTGTTGTCCATAGCCCTGAGGGGGATTATAGCTTTGCTGTTGCCCGTAGCTCTGCTGCTGTCCGCCATAGCTGGACTGTTGGCCATAGCCCCCACTTGGGGGCTGTCCATAGCTGCTGCTCTGAGAACTGCCGCCGTAACTAAAGGAACCAAAAAAGAGAACAATCATAATCCCAGAATACGCAAAACTTCCTTTCACTTTTAGTATATCCCATTCTCTATACTCAATGCCAACTCCACTATCCCCAATTATTCCTCATAATTGCTTCGATTGCTCATCATTTTATCATTCCCTATCAATTCACCCTTATCTTCAACCTGCCCCCTACACCTTACCTTCCCGAGGTGCTGCTAGGAGCTGGCTGCTGGCCATAGCCAGGATAAGAGGACTGCTGCCCATAAGATGACTGAGAACTCTGGCTACTGCCATAGCCACCAGTTGAGCCATATCCCTGGGGAGTTGACTGAGTGCTATAACCTGCTAAAAGGAAAAGAAAAAAGGAATCATAACAGCTCTAAGAAAGGAGAAAAAGCAAGGAATGGGCTGAAAAAAATACTACCCAATATTCACCCATACTTGAAAAGTCAGCCTCTTAGAAAATGTTAATTTTGCGACTCATAGTCTAAGATGTTACCCTTCTTTTTTTTTTTTTAAGGCAGTCTCACTTTGTCGCCCTCAGTAGAGTACTATGGCGTCCCTCATAGGCTCACAGCAACCTCTAGCTCTTGGGCTTAGGCGAGTCTCTTGCCTCAACCTCCTGAGTAGGTGTGACTACAGGACCACAGGCATCCACAACACCCAGCTATTTTTTTGTCGCAGTTTGGCCAGGGCCAGGTTCGAACCCACCACCCTCATTATATACAGCCGGTGCTCTACTCACTGAGCCACAAGTGCCGCCCAGGAAGTTACCCTTCTTTTAAACACTAAACGCTCTAACTCCTACCAACTCTAGGACGGTTCCAATTTCATCCTACCTATTCCAAAGCCAGTCTCAAGAGCCACCCTCTAGGCTCGGCACCTGTGGCTCAAGTGGCTAAGGCACCAGCCACATACACCCAAGGTGGTGGGTTCAAATCCAGCCTGGGCCCACCAAACAACAACGGCTGCAACCAAAAAATAGCCGGGCATTGTGGCGGGCGCCTGTGGTCCCAGCTACTTGGGAGGCTGAGGCAGGAGACTCGCTTGAGCCCAGGAGTTGGAGGTTGCTGTGAGCTGTGATGTCACAGCACTCTACCCAGCAGGGACAGCTTGAGGCTCCCATCTCAAAAAAAAAAGAAAAGAGCCACCCTCTAATCACAACCCAAAGATCCCTATTCATTAACAACATTATAACGCGCTGGTATGTGTACAGTATATACAGAACAACCCACATTAGTTATTTACACTTCAGAACCTTTGAGCAAATTCTACTTCCTTATGTTACATGATATATGGCACCGTGACTTCAAAACATCTTTATGCAAACCATTTTCTCCATATTAAGAATCAGCCTATCACTAGTTCTTCCTTTTTTTTTTTTTTTTTGAGACAGAGCCTCAAGCTATCCCCCTGGGCAGAGTGCCATGGCATCACAGCTCACAGCAACCTCCAACCCCTGGGCTCAAGCGAGTCTCCTGCCTCAACCTCCCAAGCAGCTGGGACCACAGGCGCCTGCCACAACGTCCGGCCATTTGATTGCAGCCATCATTGTTGCTTGGCAGGCCCAGGCTGGGGATTCGAACCCGCCACCCTAGGTGTACGTGGCTGGCGCCCCAGCTGATTGAGCCACAGGCGCTGAGCCCACTAGTTCTTCCTTTAAGGAATATGCCCTCTTTCATGCTAAGAGAAGAAACAGGAAAAGCTCCAGCATAAATACAAAAGTAAAAAGTCAAGCCAGGCATGATAGTACAAGCCTGTAATTCCAGCTACTAAGGAGGCTGAGGCAGGAGGATCAGACACTCCATCGCAGGAGTCCAAAACTAGCCTCGGCAACTTATTAAAACCCTGCTGCCCTACCAAAAAAAAAAAAAAGGAAGAAGAAACACCAGAAATAAGAGATAATAGAATTACAAATCAATAAACATTTTTTGTCTGAAAAGACTTACTCCAAGGACTTCTAAGAATCATTTTTGTCTGAAAAGACTTACTCCAAGGACTTCTAAGAATCATAGACAAGGTAGAGAAAAACACAGGATAGCTTCAACATTTCAGCACTGCTCAGGTTTAAGAAAAGTAACATTCAGAAACCAGGAAGAGGTGGGGTGACCCACTAAGAGACTCACTGTTCTGGGTCTGTCCATAAGAACCATAGCTGCTCTGGCCATAGCCTGAAGTATCTGACTGGCCATAACCACTGTAACTCTGCTGTCCATAGGGCTGATTGCTCTGTTGGGAGTAGCCCTGCCCAGGCTGGGTGGGGTAGGACCCATAGCTGGAGAAAAAGAGAAACAGTAGAATCAATAAAAGATATTTTCACCATCCTTACCCTCTACAAATTTTTAAAGTCCAAAAATGGTACTCACCTTTGGGTTGCTTGTTGGGTATAGTCTGCAAAAAGGAAAGAGGAAAAAAATTACATTACTTTCAGCCACCATTTTTATTGAGACAGGGTCTTAATGTAATCCTCAGTGGAGTGCTGTAGTGTCATAGCTCACAACAACCTCCAACTCCTAGGTTCAAGCAATCTTACTGCCTCAGCTTCCCAAGTAACCTGGAAATACAGACACCCACCACAACCCTCTGCTAGTTTATTTTTAGTAGAGTCTTGGTCAGGGTGGTCTCAAACTTCTGGGTTCAAGCACTCCACTCACCTCATCCTTCCAGAGTCCTAAGATTACAGGCATGAGCCACCAAGCTAAAGCAGAATAGCTAATTAATTACATAAGCACGGGGGTCCCCAAATAAAAAAAAAAAAGACATTCATAGGGCTTAAATTCCTCCATTAAGACACTGGCAAGAAAAACAGATCATATGTTCTATGTTCGTATCAGTCAAGTTATCTTACAACAAAGCAAAAAAAAAAAAAAAAAAACTAATTTCTAGAAACTAAGAAACCCTAACTATTGGAAAAACCAAGTGTCTCAGTGGACAGCTACTATTTTCTGCAAAATCAATTCAATTCGGGAAATGCTCCAAAACATTCTAGGTACGTTTCATTTCCACCAAAAAGGCATTATCATCAGGACTTGAGAGTCAGTAAATCTGCCCCAAGTGACAGAGATACTAAGTAGCACAGGTCTGGATTCCAGACCCAGACAGCAATATTCAGAATGTGGCCTCCACACTCAACCAAGATCCAAAGAACAAGAATTTCTCAAACGGCATTCTTCCCCTCTGACCTACCTAAAGTGAGCTTTTAGTGTAAAGTCAGGCAACCAAAACAAGAGAACCCCTTAACCCCAAATGACAGATCTCCATCGAAGTGTTCCCTCGCTTCAGGAGGCGAAAGTCAACCGGTACTCAAGTTCCCAGCCCTGTGGCTTCCAATGATTCCGTTTTCTCTTCTACCCTGCCTTCCTCTGAGCTGTGGGGAGACCCGGCCAACCAAAGGTATCACACTAAAAACTCACTGGTAAGATCAGGTAGTCCCCTCCGTTGGGGAAACCTGGAGAAAAAGGCCAAAGGGGCAGGAAAGGGTGTGGTCTGGGCCTGCCATTCTTGCAGTTCCCACCACAGAAATTAGAAACAGGCGGGAAACCCTTCGAGGGTGCCCGAGTCCGTTGGTCAATCCCTACCCCCAAAACCGTTAAGCGGGCGCGCGTCCCCAGTCTCGAGCCTCCGCCCCCGGCCGCGTGGCAACCAAGGCGGGAACCGGGTGGTCCCGCCCCTTCCCAAGAGACCCTGGGGGGCTGAACCCCACGCGGGACACTAGCTCCGAAATCTTCCGCGAAGCCTCTCGCGACAAAAAGCCAGACAAACACGAGGCGGGGAAGTGGAATACGCGCCGCGAGAAAGGGGGGAGGGGCCAACAGAGCGCGTGCGCGCACCAAGTGCCCGGATGCAGCACTGCGACAAAGCGGGCCCGAGCTTGGGGCTGGCTGTGAGAACTTAGGCTACAGGGCTCGGTAATTTCTATCTTTACCTTACATTTCAAATCACCAGGAAGTATCCCTCCCAACCCTGACATCAAATAAACTGCGAAGAGAAGACTTCCCGCCCCGCACGAGAGGCGCCAGAGGAATGAAACAAAATGGCGACACCGGCCTCCCCCTTCCACCCAACTCCCCACTTCCCGCCACAGTGGTACGAAGAGATCCCACACGCGATCGCCGTCCGTCCTAGCGAAAATCAGAAGCCCTGGTGGGAGGGAACGAGGCCTCGGACCGGCGCGCCACTACCGCCTCGCGCCCTTACCTACCGTTTGAGGCCATGTCCGCGCACGCGCGTACCGGCCAACGAGCAACAAAATTCCAACACCGCAGAGCACCGACGCCTCGAGGACTAAACAGCCCCGCCTCTTGCGTCGAGGTTTATGTACGCCTCCCCCCGCCTACGTACCGCGGAGGAATGTACCAAGTGAGAAAAGAAACGGGAGAGAAGGGATGGAATCCCATCATTTCTTAAGGAGTTTAGAGCATCTGAGGAGACAAAAGAGAAACATATTAACTTAAAACAATGTTTTTTAATAATATGGATAATAATATTTTTTCTTATAGGAATTTATGTTTCCTCTCCAGGACTAGCTTAACATTACTCCTCCCTGTAAAGTCATTGTGGTACTGTCTGATCTCCCGCTGGGGGCGGGGCGAGGGGCCCCGGACGTCTGCGGACAGAACTGTGTTTGAATCGGGAGTTTTTAAGAGTGGGAACCGAGATTATTGTGGCTGACCCCTTTTTCTGGGTCCCACTTTCACTCAGGATGGCTATCTCCTACCCTTCATTGTTCTTCCACTGTATCAAACGCACTGTGGTTGTAGATACCAACCTCCATTTCTGGATCTGTCGTTCCGCCCCCAGCAACAAGCAGACCCTCTCTCTCCTTGCGCCTCGGTTTTCCTTTCATAGTCTTTCCGGGTTGCCTTTCCTTCAGACCGTAACGGAATTTGGGGATTGTGACGTTTGACCCGAAAGAAAGCATGAATTGTAGCTTGGGCCCTAGGGTGTTAGTCTGGTCCAGCGCTGAACTCTCAACCAAACCCCCACGGCTTTGCCCCTAACTAGCCGCGGGGAGGGAAAGTTCGGGCCCTCAGTAGGCTCAGACAGCGTCGACATTAGATTTAGGTTGTCCAGACTTTTGACGACAACGAACCCGCTAGTTGTTTTTCTTTTTCTTTTTTTTTTTTTTCTTTTTGAGCCAGAACCTCAGTCTGTTCCCCCAGACTAGAGGGCCCTGTGTCAGCCTAGCTCACAGCAACCTTAAAGTCCTGGGTTCAAGGAATCTTCCAGCCTCAGCCTCCTGAGTACCAGGGACTACAGGGTATACTAGTATGCCCGGCAAGTTTTTTGTGTGTGTTTTTTGTTTGTTTGTTTGTTTCTTTTTTTTAGAGACAGAGTTTCACTTTCTTGCCCTCGGTCGAGTGCTGTAGCATCACTGCATACAGCAACCTCCAGCTCCTGGGCTTAGGCGATTCTCTTGCCTCAGCCTCCGGAGCAGCTGGGACTACAGGCGTCCACCACAACGCCCGGCTATATTTTTGTTGCAGTTTGGCTTGTGCCGGGTTTGAACCCACCACCCTCGGTGTATGGGGCCGGTGCCCTACTCGCTGAGCCACAGCACTGCCCCTTAGGCTGGTCTTGAACACTTGAGCTCAAGCTATCCTCCCACCTGCGTCTGCCAGAGTACTAGGATTACAGGCGTAAGCCACTTCTCCCTATCCCTTATCTACAAAATGGAGATATTTTTACCTCCTGCACAAGATTGTGATAGGAAAGAAATTATTGGGGTTTTGTGTGTGTGTGTGTGCTGTTTTTTGGGGGGGAGTTTTCCTGTTATTTCTTTTTTTTTTTTTTTTTGAGACAATCTCACTAATGCCCGGCTATAGTTTGTTGTAGTTGCAGTTGTTTTAGCAAGCCCAGGCCGGGTTTGAACCCGCCAGCCCCCGTGTACATGGCTGGCGCCCTAACCATTGAGATAAGAGCACTCAGCCGGGAGTTTTCTTGCAATCTTACTCTGTCGCCCTAGATAAACTGCCACGGTGTAATAGCTGGCAGCAACCCTGAACTCTTGGGCTAAAGTGATCCTCTTGCCTCAATCTCCTGCATAGCTGGGACTACAGGCTCCTGTCACAATGCCTGGCTAGTCTTGGTAATTGGTCTTCCTCTTGCTCTGGTCTCCAACTCCTGAGCTCAGGTATTCACTTGCCTAGGCCTCTCAGAGTGTTGGGATTACAGGCATGAACCACCTTGCCTGGCCCTATTTGTGCATTTTGAAACCACTTAAACCTTGTGTAAATGCGTTATTTTTGGGTTCTCTACTACTTACTTGATAGGGCCTTAGAAAAACAAGCAGGAGGTGGAGTGTGGTGGCTCATACCTGTAATCTTGGCACTGTGGGAGGCCTAGGCAGGAAGATCTCTTGAACTCAGGTGTTCAAAACCAGCCTAAGCAAGAGTGACACCCTTCTCTCTACTACAAGTAGAAAAATCAACTCTGGGCTCCAGCACAGTGGTTAAGGTGCCAGCCACATACACCGGAGAGTGGCAGGTTCGAACCCGGTCCAGGCCAACTAAACAACTACAGCAAAAAAATAGCTGGGTATTGTGGCAGGCACCTGTAGTCCCAGCTACTTGGGAGGCTGAGGCAAGAGAGTTGCTTAAGCCTAAGAGTTGGAGGTTGCTGTGAGCTGTGATGCCACTGCACTCTACCAAGGGTAACAGAGTGAGACTCTGTCTCAAAAAACTAAAAATAGGCTCAACTCTGCCTAAAAAAAATAGGCTCAAAACCCATAGCTCAGTGAGTAGGGCACCAGCTACATACAACAAAGGTGGCGGGTTTGAGCCCGGCCTAAGCCTGCTAGACAACTACAACTGCAACCAAAAACAAAAAAAAAAAAAAATGGCCCGGCTTTGTGGTGGGCACCTGTGGTCTCAGCTACTTGGGAGGCTGAGGCAAGAGAATCGCTTGAGCTTAAGAGTTTGAGGTTGCTGTGAGCTGTGACGGGCATGGCACTCTACCTAGGGTGACATAGTGAGACTCTGTCTCAAAAAAAATAAAAATAGAAAAATCATTTTTCTATTTTGGTGGTCACCTGCAGTCCCAGATACTCAGGTGGCTGAGGCAGGTGGATTGCTTGAACCCAGGAGTTTGAGGTTGCTGTGAGCTAGACTGACACTCTAGCCTAGGGCAACAGAGTAAGGCTCGGTCTCAAAAAAAGAAAAAAAAGGCTACATCAACTGACCATTTCTCCAGGCTTATCTCTCTCTTAGTGGACCTCTCCTGAGTTCCATAACACAAGGACCTCACACTCTTCAAAGTCTCCTTAGTTGCCATCCCTGCTCCTAGTCCTCCCTCCTTTTCCACTGTCCATTCCCTGTCTCTTCCTGCATTTCTCTTCCTCTGCAAGCCCAACAGGTAACAGTGCTCTCCAAGGTTTTATCTTCAGCCTTCTTAGCTTTTTACTTGAGGCCCAAAACCCCAACTGTAGCCTTGTATGAAATGCCGACTCCAGACAGATTTTCTGTGGCCAGCATGCTGCTTTTAATTTTGTAAACTAGTTATTAACACTAAAAATAGAGAAATTGTGTGAAAACGTAAACTTCTGGCTTATCTTGAAAACCAGAGAGTCTGGCCAGCAGTGGCCCACCTTCTCAAAGGGCAAGGGTCAGCAGGAACAAGAAGTTGCTGCCTTTAGTTAAAGCATGTGCTTGTAGTTCATGATAGGCCTCTTTACTCCCTCATGTTTCTGACCTGGAAGCCAATGTTTTGTTTTGTTTTGTTTTGAGACAGAGCCTCAGTATGTCACCCTCGGTAGAGTGCCATGGTATCACAGCTCACAGCAACTTCAAACTCCTGGGCTCAAGTGATTCTCTTGCCTCAGCCTCCCAAGCAGCTGGGACTATTGTCACCTGCCACAACGCCCAGCTATTTTATTTTGTTGCTGTTGTCATTGTTGTTCAGCTGGCCCAGCTAGGTTTGAACCCTCCAGCCTTGGTGTATGTGGCTGGCACCCTACCCATGGAGCTACGGGCACTGCCTGGAAGCCAATGTTAATTAAGATTTATATCAGAGAGGCTGGACGAGATGGCTCACGCCTATAATCCCACCACTTGGGAGGCCAAGGTGGGTGGATTGCCTGAACTCACATGTTTGAGACCAGCCTGAGCCAGAGTGAGACGCCCATTTCTGAAAATAGCCAGGCATTGTGGGAGGCACCTGTAGTCCCACCTACCTGGGAGGCTGAAGCAAGAGAATTGCTTAAGCCCAAGAGTTTGAGGTTGCTGTAAGCTATGATGCCATGGCACTCTACCAAGGGCAACAAAGTGTGACTCTGTCTCAAAAAAGAAAAAATAATGATTTATATCAGAAAAAAAAATTTTAATTTATATCAGATGTTTAATGCAATTTTTCTTAGAATAGAATTAAAAGGGCCAGGTGTGGCAGTGGCTTACAACTGTAATATTAGCAATTTGGGTAGGCCAAGACCAGAGGATTACTTGAGTCCAGGATTTCCAGACCAGTCTGAGCAACACAGTGAGACCCTGTATCTTTAAAAAACAAAATTAGC